CTAGAGGTATCCTTTCAGCACGCGTAGCTAGACGAACTCGAGAACGTTTTGTCTACACTCAAATGTCACTTTTCTCGAGTGAGCCCATACTATATATCACTCTCGACCCGAGAAACTGACAAATCGCACACCTAGATCTAAACTGAGACAACTCAAAAATTTGAGTGAGTTTTGACTTTGTACAATATTCAAATTCTCGGTGATCATACGCATCTATCCAACATAACAGATTCAATAAAGGTTCGGGGATGAGCCGCTAGATAACTTTAGCTTTCTTTTGTCGAATCAACAGTGGTCGCGTTCCTGCCACGTAAACAAATGTATTGTCAGACCTCCACATTAGTTTTTTGAGTTGTCTTAGTTTAGATCTAGGTGTGCGAAATGAGTGTAGACAAAGCGTTTCTCGAGTTTGTCATGCTACGCGTGCTGGAGGGGTCTGGCTTCCAGTTCGACGCCGCGCCAGGAGAGGAAGAGTTATTGGATGGTGGGTAAAGTTAAAAAGGTTAGGAACCAATAATCTAATGTATAATTAAATTTCTATTATAATCAACCTTATCCCGTCAGAGGCATCATTGTCATGTCTATGCTATTCGGTGCTTTTGAGGTTTACCTTCATTCAATATTTTCTTACTAGTAAAAACGAAACAATTCAAATCTCACCATTTATAAATTTATTTCTTCGAATATGCAGTCATCTAAATTGATTCTTAAGCGTCTATTTAAGTCATTCAATTTTTCCCAAACGAGAATTATCTGGGACATCAGAATTGACGATAACGCGCAAATAACATAATTTCATTTCATATGTTACAATTAATTAGATAAAATATATTATACTTAGTAACATAAAATTAGATGAAAACGCTGAGATAAATATAAAATACTTTTTTTTAAATAATTGTACTTGATACATCGAATCAGTTTTTTTTTTTCAATGAAATGAAATTGAAAAAAAAAAAACTATTTTTAAATTCATTATTTAATTATTGGAAGATCTAAGAACGGTATATTTTCCATGACAAAAACAAAGCTAGATAGATGGGGGTGGTAATAAGAAAATCATAGTAGTGTTACCACATCTTTCAGGCAAGTGTCCTTTAACACAAGGGTTGTCTGAAAGAGATCGCTTTTAGCGATACGACCGCCGTTGACCACTAGAATTAAGAATCTTTTTGTAACCTTTTCAGTTGTGTGTAAGCAATAAGCAAAGAGTTCATCTATCTATCTATCAATGACATTCATTCTAAGCGGCGCCGGCGCCATTTTGTTTGACATCCTGTTACACTTAAGCAGTCTGGCAAGAAAATCAAAATCGGACTTAGCTGCACTTTCTGGATAATTTAACAAGGGTTTAAAGTGACATGAATTAAAAGTTAAGAGTTTCTATTTGATTCACATAAATTTCGATATACTAATAATAACATTCTATAATAAGCTTAAGTATCAACTTAGTTGACTATTCATATTACGAACAAAACAGTTTTCCAACAGTTTCATCTGGCAACACAACACTTCGTGCACTAGATTTTTTCAAATGGCAATACAATCTAGAAGACGCATAAAAAACTACCCTCTTATACCAATGTTGAACATCGTACTTAAAAAATAAAACAAAAGGCTTTTTATCTGGAATAAAATTGTTTCTGCAAATAATGAACACCTAATTTACTTAAACGAGACGTAATCAGAAGTAACATCAACACATACACATTTATATTGTCATTTAATACAACTCCTATTTGGACGTTTCTTTGATTTCGTCTAGCTATTACAATTTGATCTTTCTACAGAAACTAATTATAAAGTGATTCAAACGCCTGTAGCACACGACGCCAATAAAATGAAGAGAAACCGAAACGCAGAACTCTTTTTTGTTTCGGATCCACGTAAACAGATTCAAATATATATATATATATATAGGTACATATTATAGACAAGCTATTGGGCATCAACAGCAACTTTGAACTATATAATCTTCTACTTAGTACACTTATTAAAACAGCAATTTTCGTATCAATTATTTTCTGATACTGCAAATACAAGACTTTGATAATTATACGTTAATGTAAGAATTGTATTGGCGTTGTTATAACGCTGCTAGCGAATATTCGTTGTGATAAGTTAGTGTAACAAATACGATACTTTTAATAGGATTTATTTACTGTAAAATAGTTAATACATCCCAAAACTCCGCAGACTACAAATTAGAAAACACTCCTGTGATCTCTGTGCGGAATTCTCAATACACCTGCGAACTTTTCACGGATCAATGATCATGATTTCGTTTCGCTTTCGCTCCGCTTGTTGAGACGAACCAATCATACTCATACCAGTAAGCAATTCACTGTTTTCGCTAATGTTTCGGCTCCGATTCGGTTTCACGGTAGTGTGCTAGAGGCGTAACACTTAAACCACGGTCACACGGCATTGTTCTACAAGTTTCTTGCTAAAGTTAAACGTGCAGGAAAATACCCTGGAAATGTAGTCTAAGGAGGAACCATGTCATTAGAAAAATTCGATTTTTTTTAAAGAGTCCAGATAACTCTTTTACAATTTAAATTGACATTATAATGGTTCCTCCTTTATCAAAGAAATGAGACGCCATTTTAGAGTTAACAATAAGACTCTAAATAAATAAATTATAATAATAAATAACACGCGAACAGTGACAATAGTTAGGCAAGATTCGAGTGTGCGTTACAGCGAGCACTTACCATTAAATAATTCTAGATATTTAAAAGTCATACAAAAACAATATTACGTAATAAACTATGACTAATTCGTTTATTGCTAGTAAAAAATGAGATATGAATTCTAGTCCAGATATGTTAAGACTGTGTATAAGATATTACCATAGTTTGGTCCGAATGGTGTACTTATTAAAATACTCCAATAGAAATACCATGCATACAAATGAAAATCGGTTCAAATCTGACGGAAGATACGTTAAACGTTTCACGGCACGGTATGCGTTAGTACGCGACGGGTTATCCGTCGAGAGTACAAGCTGAATCTGCGACCAAGACGTGACATATCTTCCATCGGATATGCCTTTAATATAAACAAAGTCTTTTAAAATTATCAACCAGTCTGAAATATCCAAATAATTGATAATAATAAATAACACACATTCATTATTCGAATTTATACCAAATATTAATGAGAGTTAATGAGAATAAATCATTATTTTTATGGTAACCGACATAATATTATCATTACACATACAACTAATCCATATAAAATACAAATAATTAGAATAATATTTACAAATTATTAAATGCAGCATTTTATTATAAGAAAGCGTAAAAAATAACTAATAAATTAAAAAGCTAATATAGCATTTGTAGAAATATATTTTTAAATTTATAATGCCTAAAAGTTTAGTATTGTGAGAATTCTAGAGAAAAAAAAATAAATGGTGCTACATAATTATATACTAGAATCAAGGCAAGTTTACACTGTAAGGATTTTTTCGAAGGCTTCTATGACTCAAACGCCTTCACTTAGATAACATTAAAAATAAATCAGTAATGTGTACAATCCGATTGTAAATACGTGCAGGCAACATGATGTCAAGTTATCCTACACTGGCAAAAATGTCTAATTGCTTTTAAATTTGAAATGATTTACGTTTAAATTCATTTTGACATTTCTAATTTTGTGATAACTTGATTGTACTGCTGCGTGTACATACACTTTAATAGACAATTTGCAAAACAAATAAACAATGCAAAATTACAAACTTATATCCATATAGTCAGTGACTGTATCATAAAACATCACATTAAAATCTATACCAAAAACTGGGTGATATACAAAAAGAATCTACATTCGTTTATCAACATATGTCAAGTATCCTGGCAACATGCATTTATTAAGAAGTACAGTTGACTAACATTTAACATTACAGCCACTAGAAACAACAAACATATTAATCTACCATAGTAACATATATGAGAATGTAGACCCGTGAATCTAGTGAACTCTCTATAAATAAATCAATTATACGCACCAGTTTTAAAATAACGTCGTTTTATTGCAAAACATCGCTTATATTGTGTTTCTTGGTTTATTTAGATATAGTTTACATATTTTTCTGGTAAATACTGAAGGCATTTTACCATTAGTGTAGCGTAAAGAAATATGAGTCACATAATTGAATATTTCAATTTCCTGATATTTTGTTATTTTCCCAAAACACAAATAATTAATGTTCACTTCCAATAAAACGACGTAAAAGTGTATTTGAGTATTAAAACTGTCACAATCTGACCGTCGACCAAATTGCGAAATAATACTGGCTCTTATAAGTATGGCATCGATTTTGTTGCCATAAAAACAAGTTTATAAAAATTTGGGCATGATCTAGGCGAAAATTTTAGAGATCTTTATGATTGACAAGAGAGCTGTTAGTTGTTTTTTTTTATTATTAATTCTCTAACTGTGAATCAGGCAAGTGCCGTTCATAATAAAACTATAAAAAAGTGCATAACGAAACAGAGACCAACTTAAGGCAAAGCAAGATTAGACTCGCTAATGAGATCCTACTGATCGTGCAAGAGTTGGTGATGTAACTGAAGTACTTTGATAAAACCACCCATTTCTATTTACAATAGGCAAGAGTTGCAAACATTTTTCGAATCGAAAAAATAATCATTCAAAATCTTTCCGAGACCAAAATAACTCTGAGACATTCATAGTTATAAGCTACAGGTAAATTTAGAACCCGTTAAGAACGATTCGCCTTATGACTAACCCTAAGACATTTATCAAAATGGAAATCTTAAATTACCGACTCCAGTGACATCACTTCCTGCCATACATTACAAAATTACGCTCTAACATAACGGTCTTAATAATAGATGATCTAATCTCCATTTGTGGAGATAACGATATTGTTGCATGTGATCCCATAGTCGAAGCTCGTGACTCGAGAGTCGCCTGCACTGAGATGTATCGCACAGTATTTGAGGACGGCACAAGATTTTATCTGCCGGGGATTAAAGGAGGCCCCTGTCTAGTTCCTTGCGGAGCATCCGCGACAACTTGAGGACGTCCTCATCCACCTGACCGGCGAACAACGAGTCTAATAGCTCGCCTCTAGATGCCAGTGAGAATACACCAGCCAACCTGGAGACGGATTTGTCCGAAAGGTGTCTCTCTACTACAGACCTAAACAAAACGAATACGAATTTATGTAAAACTTTATGTGGTAAAGGTCAAGAAAATTAATTGGTAAATTTCAGCAGAAACTTTAAATTGTAGGAAACGAAATAGACACTGTTAATATGACATGGAAATGTTTTTATATAAACTAAACTTTGTCATTATTAGATCGTCGTTTTTATGATTCCCGCATTAACAAAAAATACGGTATGTAGGTTGTTACTTGTACTAAAAACACTCACTTGAGCGATTGGTGCGATTCACGCAAAGCATCCTGCAGGAACCCTCTATCGTATGAAAATTCCACTTCACAGAAAGATACCACAGCCATCAGAACAGTCTGTAATAAGTGCATACATACATACATTGTTAAGTATTGAAAATACAATAGCTGTGAAACCGCCATTCATAATGGTTTGTCAGTTCAACTCATACATGTCATGGATGAATCACGAACAAATCTAATGTGGTGTGGCATATATGACCACTATAAACTTGTTTGTTATTGTGATCTATTACCAGAGTATCAAAAGCTTATTCAAAATGTTATTATCTCTACATTTTACATAGTCTGTTTGTACTAAGACAAAGTATGATAACTCACATGGAACTTGGACCGGAAGGCGGCTAATGCCCGCTCGTCAGCTGGCGACAGCTGTCCATGTCTGCGCAGCACCCCAATCTTCACGGCAGCCTTTATCACATGCTTTATTAGTTTCTCTGCCTCACGTTTCTCCACGCGCTCACGAAGCACCGTCAGGAACTAAATAGAATTCATAAGTTATAATCACGTGGCAGATTGGTATTCACAACTAAAGATTCCAACGGCTTAACGTGGCTTCTGAAGTAAGGAGAAGCTCGAGATATCAAATTTCATACATTCTACAACGGCCCCTTGTAAAAGTTGCTTACTTTCACTTCTCAGGCTGAACGCACTAATACTCGTCAATCTTCGAAATACTAATACGACTCAGATGAAACCCATTTTTCAATAATATATGATGTAACGGAGGAAGGACTTTACACTGACTCTGATGCACAGATAATCTTCACGGATATGATTTTAACAAAACTATAAGAGTGATTGGAAATTTTCCCAATTTTCGTTTCAGGACAAATAGAATAGTACCTCCGATGTCATGTTAATTCATACGAGTTATAAGTATACCTGGTCGAGGAGTTTAGCAGCATGCTCGTCTAGTATGAGCGCACGCGCGCTCGCTGCACCACCGACGCGTGAGAGAAACTTCTTCTGTGCACGCAGCGAGATGTCGCGTGCGCACCACGCGCCGCCCTCCATTGCTAGAATAGATGTTTGTTACATTATATTACTTCCTCTTTATTCCATTAGTAAAAATGCAGCTGGGATGGTAGATTTAATAAGCATTTTTTATTAAAAATAATTATCAGTATAGCATAGTGAATTTTGACCATTTGACTTTTAAAAACATTTAAGCATCTGCGTAATCTCTAAATTTCAAGAAAGTTTTTGAGATTTGAATTACGTTAAATTATTCGTGGCTTTTGTATTGAATATTGTGGAATAGAATACAATGGATAATTTTGGAATTGCATTACCTTCTTTTCATTTTGATTACATTTCTATATCAGTCAAAAATAACTTTATTCTACAGTTAGGCTCAGGTCGCACTGAGATGACACGCAAGTCTGAAACTGCGTTTTGTAACACAGCCTTCTTTCTACACAAGCGCGCGCGATAGCAAACTGGAAAGACGAGTGGTATATGCGGTTTTGCATTTTTAGCTATATTTAAACCGCGTGCGATTGTAGTGTAAACTCAGTGTGGCGTGATCCTTAGGAAGATTCGTTTCGTTAATTTAGATTAAATTTTTTTGACTAAGTCACATTCAGAAGTAGTAGTCTTTACTAAGGTTACCTTTACTCATATCACATCAATATAAATACTTTTTCACCCTTGAAATATATAATAAAATTGAATTTAATCCTAGTTTAGGATTATCTATATTTATTTAACATGTGCTGTGAGTTAATATAAAACAATCGCAAAGCGAATACAATAATTGGTGGAAACACCAACTTATTTCTCTGGAGGTAATTCATTAATAAAAATTATGCAATATAATAAATATTTAATTCCATTGATACCAATGTTTTTAAGTATATAACATATGTATGTATGTATATAACATACCATCTTGTAACTAGAGCATCCCGTTCCGAATCGTTACACAGTTCGTGTAATATTATCTACGCATTAATGTTTTCTCCGTGATGAAAACAATTTCTGATTGTATTAACACCATGAACCGATATTTTAGTATTTTTATGTCATTTTTTTCACTTATCGTAATAGGTACATATTATCATAACGCGACCGTACCCCGCGGTGGATCTACCATGAAACTAATGAACTTAATACAACCGTCATTGAATTTAGAGTTGGCGCTAGGAATTGATTTCACTTGATAGATGAACTTTGGCTAGTGACAGGTAATTAAGGTAAAAACGGGGTTCCACTCCATCGATATATTACGTTTTGCATTAGTAATCATAAGAGTTTATGTGTAACTTTTTGTTTATATTTATCTATACCAGATATTTTGAAAATGTGCTCTGGATTTCTAAAAGGCTTCCATCGGCAAAAAAGTTGGAACGCTGCTCTACTATTAACATTATCCTAGTAAAGAATTAACAGCACAAAAATTCACCTAAAAATCTTGGGACTAGCGTGCACTGGAAACACTGCTTCGTCACGGCACTGATTCATAATTATAGCCATTCAATCATCCATCGATTCGTTAAATCCAATGTCACGTATGGTCATACGGTCATCTTTATTTTTCATGTAGTGTAACGCAACGGATATATATAAATTTTGCTATGGACAACAGACAATTGTACTTTCAATTAGATCTCTAGCAACTGGGACAATGAATGAATCCACTGGTTGTTTTCGTACCGAACATACATGGAACATACACAATATTAACAACTATCTATTTTCCCGCGACTTCGCAAGCTTAAATTATAGCTTATGTCAGTAGTGGGACACTCACTTACAAGTGACAGCTGACATTTTTACTAGCGCCATCGAACTGTAAACCCTGTAAACTGAAACGCCAATATTGATGTAGGTAGGCAACCAAACATGGGGTTTGAAGTTGCTTATCAACACATTTGTTGACCCGATGAAAATATCGAAAATATAGTTTGATCTCATTCAGACTCTATTTTTTTTAATATAAGTTATAGAAGAAAAATAATTCGATAATAGAAGTCCTGTCTAAAGATAATTGTGATTGTGATACTTGGAGCGTATATGTCGAAGTCTTGCTTGTTAAGAAGAAACTATGGCAACAGAAAGAATAAAATATGATTATTGAATCTGCATTAATATTAGTGATATTGAAATAAACATATTCTCACACAGTATAAAAAAAAATTGGAGAGTGTGCTCTCTTTTACCTAATATATACTTTTACTCTTGGCCTATGTCAACCCCATCTTGTGGACTCTTAGCTGAAATAATTTTTAAAATAGGTCAAACAAACAATCAAATATTTCCTCTTATTATTATAGATTAACATCGGAAAACAGTCACTCCAACAACTATCCGCTTTCTTCAATAATATCGATACGAAGCTGAATAACTCTCTAAATTAAAAAATAATGATTTTAATTTGTAATCGTTTTAAAGTTATTGCTAAATAATTTTAAACAGAAGTATAATCAATATAACTAACAAGTAGTACAGGAGTAAACAAAAATATAATAAGTTATCTTAGTTATTTCCCCCTCTTCGATTTGAATCGCTCCCATCCACAGGGAAGGCTTAACCCCAGCAGAAGAGACATTATTAATCTGTGGTAATATACAGGCGATTATGATTACAAATGATACAATTGAACAGGTAGTTTGACAGGAAAACTAAATATATTTTTAGGTACAACAATAAATTTAAACTATTCAAATTAAGGTTTTAAATCAACCTGTAATTAACGTGCTGTCGACTGCAAATATTTCCCTTGAGCAAACCACACAACAACGTAGAGAAATGATTTTCCTTTCAAATATAAAACTTTCTTCATTCCGAGTAATTTTATTTTTACTTCCAGCGGGCGAGCCTCTAACCCTCTTTTCACGATAAACAAAAGGGTGGATAAATCTCTAGGAACGGGAAACGTTCATACTTTATGTTGATAAGAAAAAGTAGTATTCAAGGCACGAACCTACCGGTGGATCACGGTTAACTTTATTGACTAACTTTTAATGGAAACTGACACAAGAGAGACCCGCGTAACATCATTGATATGAACTTCAGGTTAATGTTGGTGTGTGATTCATACTACAAGCAAAATTAATTCCGCGCAGGCAATGACAGCTGTGTGCAGTTCATTAGGCTGTCAATCATCTACCGCGTAATTTCATTGATTGATCCTCAGTTTCATTTCAGTTATTGATCCCACACTTGATCTTCATGGTAAGAAGGATGGCTGAGAATCATTATGGCACTCGTTTGTGGCTTACTTTTATTTAAAAAATCATGTTTATGTACAACTTTTAATATTACCGAATAACTCATTTATTATTATTATTTAAGTTTGTTTTTATGTTCGATAGTGGTGTGCAATAGATAGTAACTTCGTGGTCATAAGTTATATTTACACTTTCAAGAGTGTGATTTGTCTATATTCGGTTGTTTTATTATTTTAAACTTACTTTTTAATAAACTGTCATGTTTGGGTTGACAATTTCGTAATAAAGTATTTGTGAAGCCACTTAACAGAGTTTTCTATTTAGATTTTATTTAATTATATATCAATTATTTTCAATTAGAGAGTGCAAGCAAGCAAAGCTGCGAACAAAAACTAATAAAGCTATTTTATTAGACACCCAACACGGCATCATTGTTTTTAACTCATGATTTTATGTCCTCTAGAGAACGCATTATTCAATTTAATGTGACATCACAGCCTATAACCTGTGGACGAACGAGCCGTTTCCAACGACTGTTACGTACACTTTATCTAAACTAATATTATAAAAGTTTTGTAAATTTGCTTGTTTGCAAGGGGAAGCGCGAACATACCTATATTAGATACATCATAATATATAAACTTATATGATAATTTGAAAATTATAAATTATTGATAAAATAATGACAAGTATTTTTAAAATATAAAAAAGCAGACACATACGTACACCCAAACCCACATTTGCCGGTTAAAATCAACCCTTCGGTTATTGTTTGTTAGTACTTCATCGTATCGGAAAAAGAGCGGTTTAATATGACATCTATGCGATATTAAGTTTTTTCTGGGTCACATGCGACGTTGATTTAAGTATATAATGTATTGTTATAACTATAGTATCACAAAAGGGACAAAGTGGATATTCCAATCTATAGCCCCACTTAATATTATAAATAAGAAATTGTATTTTTGTCCTTTCACGTCTCGAGGGAGCATCGTTATAGTAATTTGTTTGTGTTGAAAAATATGTGCTATTTCGTACAGAAACACGATTGGTAATTTTCTTTAAAGGAGCTCGGTGGCACAGTGGTTAGCGCGTTCGGATTGCAATACGGTTGTTAAGCAAAAGCCCGGTCATAGGATGGGTGATCAAAAAAATATTAATTCGAGCTCCTTCTCGTTTTGGAAGGAACGTTGAGCCGGTAATCCGCAGTCGTCAACACCCACCAATTTTTACTGAGCCCGCGTGGCCATGTGACTCATTCTCCCTTAAAAAAGGCTTGTGTAGAGGGGACATTAATATGCTGATGGTGAGATGGTGCTGATGGTGCTGATGGTGAATTTCTTTTTAAAATTGCTATTCTAGGTAATTTGTTTCGTCATGTTTCTAAACGCTCATAGCTACCTGCAGCTACATGAAAGCTGTCCAATACAAATACACTTAGGAAACCCTTAACGAAACATCGAAGTTCCTTAAATGAATTTCGCCGGGGTTAACGGCCTCCGAGAGAGTGAGTTTGATAAACTTCGTTGAACTTCAATGATGCTCATTCGAATGTAAATTTACGATTAAGGAAATATTATCGTTGATTGTTGAGTAGCTCGGTGGCGTAGTGGATAAGCGCCGCGGCCCGCGATCGTTGCCGTTAAGCAACTTTCGCAAGGGTCGGTCACGGGATGGGTGACCAAGAAATTATTATCTCGAGATACTCCATGCTTCGGAAGGCACGTTAAGCGGTTGGTCCCGGCAACATTTGCATTCGTTAATACCAATCTGCATTGGGACAGCGTGGAGGGTCATGGCCCATCCTCCTTAACCATCCATAAGAAAGGCCTGAGCCGCTGCAGTGAGGACGTAAAAGGGCTAATGATGATGATGATCGTTGATTGAATGTTCTTTTTATTGAGCCCAGCGTGATTACCTACACGTGGTTACTTTGTTCCTCTGTTGGTGTGATATCATATCTCGACACATGTAAATGAATCTTGACACAGATTCATTTCTGTTATTGTTGTCAGTCTGTTGGAAAATGCGACATGAAAATTGGATAGTTTTAGGTTTTAATCGCGTTCAGACAAACAGTGAACAACACAATGGGGTAAACGTACCTATGTGCATATGGATGATATTTTATAAGCTCATAAAGTACATTTCCAAAATGTATTTGAAATCGATCAAGATGTTCTGAAACATTCGATATCCGTTCCGCATATATCCGTGTTTCGTACCTCAACAATCTACTTGAAACAAGAAACTATATAAATAGATTCACCGCATCAGACAACGATTATGCTTATAGAGGGCGAGATGCGACGTCGCTGTATTACGAGTATACTATGTAGATACTTATTTCTCCTTAAGAACCTCGGAAATAAGATTATACGAACCCTGCATACTGGATACGTTCACCCAACCGATTTAATTTAAAAGCTACTATGGAACTTTATAGTAGCTATATTAATTACTAGATTATTGCCAGCCCGCGTGGTTTACATTATGATTTATCAGTATATTTATGCATAAGGAACCGTTTGATGAGACAAATATATACAAACTTTGGCATTTATAACATTAGTAGGATTTAGTTTTCTTTAAATGACATAGGTAAGTAATCATTAAGTAATATTCATGCATAATATTTTTATCACCCCTGTGACTAGACAGAAATTAAAATATTAGGAATTTTGAACAGAGAATCATAAGAAAACTATTGTCATAATC